TCAAGTTGTACACGACATCGTTTTATCATTATATGTAAATCGATCTTTAGTTTTCTCCTTTCACTTTTGAAACTTTCAAAGCATGTGGAATGTATTTATATCTTGTTATTTTTGCAATCTAATTTGTAATTTACTTGTATATTTTATTTTAGTTCTCACAGTGTTTATAAAGGTGTATAAAGGTTTTTAAAGAATTTAATAAACAGCAGTTTGTGAACTGACATTTACCCAAATCACTGCTGGCAGTAATAATTACGTATTACATAAATTAATTATAATATTTAAATATTAAATATAATTTGTTACATTTGAATTGATAGCAATATTTGTGAAGTGTACATGTAGATAGTGGCCCATTCATGGTTGGGGAAAACAAGTTTGGTGGGGGAAGGGGTACGGTATTTTGTGTTAAACATAAAATTGTAATTAATTATATCACCTGGCCAAAGATTATACACATTGAATGTCACCCATCAAGTAATAACTAAGTGCTAATCAATGCTGTAGTAGCCTCTCCTCCCACACACACACAGCAGAGGGGAAGGGGGGGGGGGTCGGTGCAGGGTTAGAGGTAAACATTATTCACTACGGTCAGGTAACCAGTCATTTCACCTACAAGTGTTTTGCTAACAGTCCCCTAACATCTCTCATATAAGGTTTCTTTGCTGTTTGTGAAACTAGTTACTTGTAAACAACACAGTCTCAATACCCATACATGGATTAAAAAGCATTCTTACCAAACCTTGTTTCTTGAATTTTCTAGCATCTTCCTTATTGATGTGCCATTCTATGGAGGTCTCCCCACAGCTTATCAGTTTACAGTGCCAGCCAGTCAATATCCCGAGAGCCAGTGTAACAGCAGAGCACAACATGAAAACATATATAATGCCATTGTGTTCAGACTCCGAAGCACTGTCCCCTCTATGGTAATAATTTCTTATCTGAAACAAAATTATTTCATATTATTGCTATTAATTCCAGAAAAATTACCGACTTTGCAGTGACAAGCATTGTTATCAGCCTCAATTAATTTGCAACTAT